TGAGATACCATCTCTAAACCAAGAGTTTACAAGGTAAGAATGACATAAAATGAACCATCACCCAAAAAGATGAGTTTCCATGGTTTCTTTCATTTTTGAGAAGAGATCCAACATACCCAAAGTGAGTTTAAGAGAGAAAAAGAGAGTTAGAATCTAGAGTTTTACCTCTTCTCAAGCTCTTAGATGAGTATCCAAGCTTTTTGCCCTTGAAAAGCTCTCTTCTCTCACTCTTCTTATTTTCTAAACCCTAGATTGTGTTTAGGTGTTTCTCATTAAATGTTGTCTCGTCGGGTTCTCGGTTTAGTGAGGGATTATCGCTCAAGCGAGAAAATCCCGCCCATTTTAAAAACTCAAATCTGACCCTATTGCTCAAGCGAGAATCTCACAGTGGCAACAGCCCCAAAATGCCATCTCTCGCCCAGGCGAGACAACTCTCGCTCAGGCGAGAATCCTCCAGTATAGCCCAGGATTTCACCCTCCCAGGTGAACCTCTCTCGCTTAAGCGAGGATCTGAGGGCTGATACTATGATTTTCAAGACTTAAAATTTGGGGTGTTACATTAATCATCTGGTAACTATCATGATCTAAGAAAAGTCTCACTGATAACATTTTAATAAGTCATGGATTAAAAAAATATAAAAGTATTAATGCCTCTCAATTTTGATATAAAGGGAATAGCATCTCGTAAAATGTGCACAACACCTCACCTAAAACATCATCATCAATAATATTTTTGTCCTTAGTCCCAATAAGAAATAATAAAAATAAGAATAGTGGAAAAGAAAGGAAGTTGGATTCTCTCTAGTACTAGAAGGTTTAGAACTGGAGAAGATTGTGACATGTGGCATTAAACTAATTTTAATGGTACAAATTTTAATCTATTTTTAAATAAAAAAATATTAAACTAATCTGAACCTCAAATTGCACATTATAGTACTACATTCTCCAATACCGGAGAAGATTCCAGCATAGGAGAAAGACAACCCACTAGACTTGGCTATTGACCTTATGGTTTCAACGATACATAAAACTCATACGACTTTCTTTCTGTTTTTATAACAGAGGGGATCCACTTATGCCAGTAGTAAGTTAAAAAAACCTTTCTCCATATCTTAATATATAAATTGTGACATGCCACTCTTTTAAAATAGCTAAGAATATGTGACTTTGATAATTATTATATTTAGACTTCACCTTAATACAATTTGGTCCATCTTTATATCAACTATGGAACCATCATGGCCTTCACTATATTCAAGCGTGGCTAATCCATGACGATCACAATATTAATATACTTAATGAGATAGATAAAATATGGATGAGTGACATGGAAATTTCATGCAATGTGATCTGATATATGTCTATTTCTATCTGGCCCTTGTTTACTCTTGTGTGAGATCAATCCAAAATCTTTAATTGTAAAATAATGGTTACAATAAAAAAATGCACAAGTTCAATGGAGAGGTAATTAATAGATTATTAGTTAGTTATGTAACACCCTAATTTTCTTTTACCTAAGTGTAGTGAAAGTCATGGAAGTCTGGAGTATACTGAGTGTTTCTTGCCACAACAAGAGGGCCTCGTCCAAGCGAGAGACTCAGTGTTTGCTCCCAGGATTTCTATGGGACCCTCACATGAGCGAGAGTTAGCACGCCTAGGCGAGAGGGAAGCTGTGGAGGCTGAAGGATTCTCGAATGAGCGAGAGTTGGCTCGCTCAAGCGAGAGTGAGTGTATGAGGCTGATAGATTCTCGCCCAAGCGAGACTCCCTCGTTTGAGCGAGAGCATCAATGTTTGAAATTTTAAAGAGGCGGGGGACTCTCGCCAAGTGAACCATTCTCGCCTGGGCGAGAGCCTGAAAAGCTGAACCCTAAAGTAGAACCCCAAACACAAAAAGGGTTAGAACTTTTGGGAGAAAGGGGGTGGAAGAGGCGATTTTGAGAGAAAGGGTTCGTGTAGAATCTACTAGAAGCTAGAGAAGAGGTAACCCACTTGATTTTGACACTCTATCTAGTTTTAAAACTCTGTTTGTTCTTGTTGGATCTCTTATCTTATCTTGAAAAACCATTAAACCCATTCTTTTGAGTTGTGGTTCGTTTTTATCTAGTTTTTCCTCTAAAAACTCGTGGTTTAGAGTTTGTATTCGAAAATGGGGATGATTGATGGTTGATTCATGAAAACCCCAAAACCCTAAACGAAAATGAGGTTGAAAGGGGGAAATGTTAGGTTAGGAATGTGGTTTATGGGTTTTAATGTTGAGTAGAAGTGAATGTGTATATTTTACATGCTTGAAATTCCTAATGGAGATGATTTCGAAAACCATTGAAAATATTAACCTCTTTTATGGTTGAATATGTAGTGTAAGTTGTTTATGTGATATTGTGAATAAATGACTGATTATTGTTATTGTGTGGTGGGAATGAGGAAAGATCCTAAGGTTGGAAGAGGTGACAAAGGAACTTGCAAAGATACCAAAAAACCAACCCCAACACTCACCAAGGT